TTCAGAAGACCGGATCGCCGGTCCATCACCCACAGTATTCGATCAGGAAGATACTGCATTTATTTTGTAGCCGTTATGACACCTTTCCTGTGCAACATATCATGCCGTCTAGTTGGTTTAGGCAACTGAATCATTGTGAAGTTCAAAAAACCTTGATTTCGTCTTCTTCCTGGATCTGTTGATCATTTTGCGAACAGACTGATGTGAGCAGCTTTGTGTGTTTTATGGGCAACAATTTTTAACAGAAGGATGACTGTGTAGCTCTACGGTGATTGTTTAAGTTTTCCTGTGTCAGGTTATCACCCACTTAGAGCTCAGATGGACTTAAAACGTAGGTTGTTTGTTTTTACATCCCGAAGTAAAGGAAGTGCTGTGGGTAACTGGGATTCTAAAGACAGTAGACGAAGTAAAGGCTATGCCCTGCCTTTATACATATCGGTTATCTATCATGTGACGGTATTTCGGTGGCATATCCTATATTCTTTGTTGCAGCACATAAAAACGGAAGAGGGACTGACCACCAAATAAGTATGCGTGGAATAGCCAATTCTTTGAATCACATGGTTCTTACGTAAGTCCATGCTGCGTAGACCGCCAGAAGATAGCTATCAGGTGCCAGATGGGCGCAGACATTAGTGAGCGGGGGAATATTAAGAGAATAAGCCTTCCTGCAACAAATAGAGTTTCTCTCCTTTGACTTTCAGCGTGTAGCTCGGAAAGCCTTTCAAGCGAACTTTCACGCGGTTAGTCTCTTGAACTCCGTATCTTTTGCATGGGTTGACCGACGTTTGAAATCTCTACCACGTCGTATAGTGAACACTTGAGGTAGACGAAGAAAGCGCAAAATAGCGATCGAACTCTGGCTACCTCGAAAGATGGCATTTAGAAGCCTCCTCGGGTTTTATTAGGTAATGCTCTACTTAAATGTAACTAAGTATGCTTTTTGAGCAACATGCAGTGCCGATATGAAGCGGTCCACTATTGCTGCTTTTATTGAAGAAAAATAGTCTGGCAAGGGTAGCAGGAAATGCACCACACAAAACAATACAGCACTATTTTGACGACATAAAACGGAGGGAAGTGGGTAAAAAGAAAAATAATAAGAGTAGGATGGTTGGAAGAACAGTCCAGTAAGATACGTTAAAAACAAAACATTCATTACTTTCTAACGGTAGAACAAAGAAGGAAGCTACAGCATGACCACAGTGGTCTCGATTGTAAGCCATACCTGATAACGTCTCGAGCCACTGGGCTGCACGATCTCTCGGACCCCACCCAGCGAGTCATGATGCACCAATGGATACTGGCCCGATACAACTATCCTTGATCCTATGGTGCCACGTTAAACACTGAACACCCCATCGCTTCTTCCATCCAGTCCCAGGGCTGACAAATAATGGACTGTATGAAAGCCGTTAGGATGGCTTTCGCAACACATGTCTAAGTCACGGAGGCCGGTGTTTCCAGATGACTTCACTTATTGAACGATGCCCTCCAACATTCCCAAACACACATTGTCGCAATAATATGAGGGTGAAACTTGGGGGCTATGGTTGATTGTAGTCCGACTTTAGTCTGTCTATTTGAAATATCACACAGTGAAGCAGTGGCATTTGCTGGATAATGTTTGAGACACAATTCATTGTCCAGACTCATATCAGGTAACTCCACAACTTCGAGAAAGTCTTTGTATATTCGCAATTTTCTCTCCTTCTCTGCGATGGCAGTGGAGGCAGAATTCTCCATATGTCTGGGACAGGTGCAGAAGCATTTCGATGGCATGTGTTTGGTGTTGATTCGATCAGCAAAGATTCGGTTATCAACCTCTCCCTCCATACAACTAAGCTAGTTTTCAACACTGTCGCCCTATGCCACCCTACTGTGTGATTGTGTATCATCGCATGCAGAGCTATAGCCGAGTTTTTCTCTAGATTTCTTATCTTTTTAGGATCTACTAATCTTGGTTTAGCTAAGTTTTTGTGCTCTGTTATTCTAATCGACCCTGATTGACTGCTTCGACCAATGAATTTGGCCTCACAATCATTGCAAGGATCTTGTAAACCAGACTATTTCGTTTAATTTGATCGATAGGATCTTTTAACCCACAAAGTTTGTTTCCAAGTGAGTTTGTTGGTTTGAGTGCCACTTTAATCCCAGCCTCACTGTGAACTTAGTGTTTTGCGGTCGGGCTGACATCGCGATGGTGCCAAAGGTGGTCTGGATTGACTACCGATGATCGGTTCAAGCCCTTGTTATTCATATGTAGTCTTCATTAGCTTAATGTCTTCACATATCGAAACGGAATCGCTACGTTGGTTGAAACGGGACCCAGCACCAACTTTGAATGACCTCATTGCTGAATGTCAAAGATTGGTCAACTTGCGATGGGATAAGAGTTCGGTTCAATCCGGATGCAGTGGTGACAATATTCATGCTGTTCACCGTACATCTGATGCTTTGTCATTTCTTCCGGTTGAAATACTCCTGGTTCTTCATGTCATGTCCATCATTCCGGAAGCTCTGACATGACCGAAAGAAACAGTAAGAGGACTTCCCCACTTACATGCTAGCAGTGTAGTATGTGGCATTTTGGGAAATTTTGTCTTCGTAAGCAGAGATAGTACCACTGTCAGTCTCAAAGACTGATTTCTTGAGAAGCCTTTCCATCACAAATAACATGCAGATCGCTGTCGAAAACAGAAGTCCTGACCGAATGCCAAGCCTCTTAGTCATACTGCTACCCTTGACATGCACACACCTGTGGGGAGGAAGTATGCCCAAGTTCAAGTAAATAATCATATAGTGCGCCCATGAACTGACACAGCTCTAGATATTATAACTTCTCCAAAAAATCTACGGTGGAAGGTTGGCCGGCTTTCTGTTCAGAAGACCCAAACAACAGCCATCAGAGTATGAGGTGACTGGTTATAACTAACAGGTCAATTTTCGTGTGCTGTATCCTCCCACAGTACCTCAACAGATCAAATTTTTTTATCGATTCGAGGTTGAACTGAACCTCTTCGGTATCGATTAATTTGAAAGTCTTGGTCTGTCGAACATCCCTTTACGCGCTATACGTAATCATAACAGGCACCTACTGACAGTCATCATCATCAGCCAAAGTTTTTAAAGGCATTCAAGCAAGATGTTGGTTGTCGCATAGCACCCTAAGCTATCTTCCGCCTTGGAGATGATGCCAAACTATTTTCTGGCCCAAGACATTGGTGCCCCACAAGTGGGTGCGGGGGTCTTCCGTTTGGAGCGACAAGATATTCTCGCATCAGTTTCTTGCTCTTTGTGGGCGGCTTCCGTTGTGGTTTTCAGAAAACCGAATTTGTCTGTCTGAAACTATGCGGATTTTTCTGTTGGGCCTAACGCAGCACTCAGGCATCACCGCCACCACTGCCAGCGTCGAATAACATGCTCACCGTTCCACATAGTGCAGCCTGTTTTGCCAAAATTTGTCTATCCGACGCATATTTTCAAATAGATGTTGCCAGGGAATGCCGTTAACTACTGGCGGTTAATACATATCCCGGACTTTACCAGTATAATCGGTCAAAGCTGGGAGTAGAAACAGAGTCACTTTTTAGGAGGTAATAGGCGACATATCACCTGGTATGCAAGGATTCACTGTCTACCTTGATTACATCTGTACTCAGCCGAACATAGGAATTTGGGTAAATATAGAATGACAGACCAGAATAAGATCGGTGATCTAGAACAACCTCAGCTGTCGCAATGCATGCATTGACACATAGCCACATGATAGGGTGGGGTAAAGCCACCGTACTTATGTCCGATATAATTAAGTGGAGGGAGGTTGGTTGCCTAACCTTTGCTCATTGCGTCAACACCCAGCCAACACGTGATAGAAAGTGCGCAACACCTATACCAGAGGTACGGAAAATTTTACTACCAACGAAAATAAATCACGTAGGGTGACACAACTATGAATATCAAACGTCGAAAGTTGTGCGATTACACCGATATGATTATGGCCAATAATTTACGCTCGAAACGTCATCAAGTGAATAATACTGTATTACTGTGTGCTATAAATCAAGTAAACAAATCGAATGTGGAATAGCAGGGGTTTCTATAGATCTTGCAGCCCGCCGCATGATAGCATACGTCAAAGGACTCAGACAACCACAAGAGGAGGCAACCAATACTAGAGAATACTACGTTGTGTTCTCAATCGGTGGTCGACTGAACCGGCTACTGTTGACATAAAACAATTTCGTAGTGGAAGGTGTTGAGGCCAATAATTCTCCTAAATCAATAACCAGAGGTTTGATGAGGTCTGACCTCGATGCTCACCCTCGCAGTTTGATTGAACCGGCTAAGTTGAAAGCACACGGTCAAGCACCTACTCATCTAGCACACCATCACATAACCATGCCTCGCTTGCACGTGATCCTCTGGCACATTTGTCTAACCATCGGTACTTTGGGACAGCCTATTGGATATACTATTCTTACCTAGGTGCCATTTTCTGTACTTTCAAGGTTTCGTGCCTGCTGGTATTTTACAAGTACGAGGAATTATTGATAGGCGTCTGTATCGTAATTTCGCGTAAGGACAGTTCTTAAAGAGGCCAGAAACGTCTTTAGGAAGGGATGTGTTGGAATAAAAGGAGAGGCTAATTCAGGTGTGCGAAACACACCGAATGGTAAGACTTTTGAATAAAAAGTCCTGTTGAAGAGTAAAGCAAACTGATGTTGTGGCTACGTTCTGTAGCACTACTTAGATCGATTCACTGAATTTAAGTTGGTCAGGGACTGAAAATGAATACGTACTCAAAAGAGGATCATTAGTTTTGGGAACTGTTCTATCGAGCTAACACTGCAAAGGCCTGAAAGCTCCTATGGTACTACATGGGCGGTTCTGAATAATATCTCATTATATGTACAAGAGTTTAGAGCAACGTTTGACAAATATGAGCAATAAAGAATAAATAAAACTCCAGTGCAGACAACTTGATGAAAAACACATACCTTATTTTTGTGAGGTAGTTTGGTGGAGTCTGAGGATAGAAACCTCCATTTACAAACATCTGTCTGCCTTTTTTTCAAAACTCCCATACTTTTCAAATGGTTCACAGCGTTGCCATGGCATGTAAAATTTAACGTCTCAAGGTTTTGATACAGGCAAAACTAAGCCTTTCAAATGAAAATATTTATTGTATTTCTGTTACATTTGATAAACGTTTTATTGCATCAATATCGACATGTAATCATGTGCAACTCCTTCGAGCTTCAAGCTATCGCGCTAAGTTGAAATGGTTGACCGTATGTTCCAATTTATTCAGCATTTTCGCAGTAAAATGTCCTGACTACATGAGTTATTTGCACCGTAAATACAATCTTGAGGGTGATACTCCCTCTCAGCAGGAAGAGGTGTGTGGATTTGTATGTTCAAGGTCGATAGTCTGTTGATTCTTCCTCTTATCGGCTTGTACAGATTTTTTAAAATTATGTAAAACGTATGAGTGATGTGTGTATATGTTTGTATAAAACTTATCACGGCTGTTGTAGCTAGTGTAGTAGTATGTACAGTGGGCAGCTAGCACTTTCAAAACTGTTACACCTATTCATTAACTCATCTGTCCCACTAGTAACTATGAGAGATGGGTAAAAATGTGGATAGATACCTCCTAGTCCCCTGCTATATAATGCGCCGTTACTGAGGTCGATGCACTTTACCAAGGATATGCCCTGTGGATGAAGAAAAGGATTGCTAGCTCATTAATCTTTCTTCAGATCTCTGCTTGTTCAGTCGTCTCTTGAACGAGTCGACTAGTAACGCGAAAACCGTACTTGAGAGTTGGCTACTCAGCTCAAAAACCAGTACTTTACGGAGATGACATCTGTTTGCTTTTGTACTCCATTGCTATATCTGCTAAGGTGTTCCAATCTAATGGGAAGGAAAAGCGAAAATATATCAGGTCGAGTCATTTCTTAAAATTCTGTATAGCGTAATGAAGTTAAAAAGAAAAGTCTCAACCCCTGAAATTAGTCTTTGGAGGTTAAGCAGGTCGTTACATGCAACGTATAAACAACTGTTCTCTGAGCTTTCCGTACGGTCTCAGTCACCTTTCAGATAAGGATTTGGGGCTTTTGTAGTCTTCTAGTTTAGATCTAAATAAGGATACGTATGAGGTGGGCAACGTAGCACCAATTATTTTAGTCAATGTCCTGTGTAGCGCTAGTAGTTCCCCAAAATGCAGATTCTTCTGGACACCGAATGCCAGGTTGATATTGTAGGAGATGCGTTTCTCGCCACACATGCAAGTTGTTGCCCAAGGACAGGCCTTCTACGGTGCCTCGAATAACAGTAGCGGGTGTTGAATTCGTTGGACACTTAATTTACCTGGGAAGTCGGATCTGCCCTGGTGGGTCAGTAACCGACGAAATCTACTCATGGTTGCAAAAAGTTTCGGTTGACTTTTTCCAACTTATTCCATCTGTGGCCTCGCCACAATATGCGGTTGTATATTGAGTCGAAAGTACTGTGCTGCAGTTAGCTTTGCTCTATTATGTGGCTTTGAAACATATCCGTTAAAGGCTGAAAATATGACAAAGCTTTAGGTGCTCGGTCACTGTTGCCTTCGTAGCATAGGTCTTTTATCATGGTGTCCCTCCATGAGTAACACAGAAGTCAGATGCAGAGTCTTAAGGAAAAACGAAGTTACCTGACGAGGTTGTTAACCATCATCGACTGAAATGGTTGAGATATGCCACGTACATCTGGTCACCGTCTGCCTCGTCACACAATGCTGGCTGAAGTATGTTTAGGCTGAGGAACGGTTTGGGGTGACTAGGCTAAAACATGACATTGAAGTTTTTGATTTTTGATCTAAGCGATGTACGGAAATGCAGAATGGAACGTTAGAGTCCAGGTGATAACAGAAACCAGTGGTGGGAGACTAGATGATATAGCTCAGAATCAATGTCAGTGATCCAGATGTTCCCACACATAATCTTAACCGCTATATTGAATTCATCATTTTCTCATTTCTTCTTCCTCTTTAACTACCTTCTAACTACTTTTGCCCTACCTTTCTTTCTTTCCCATCTTTAATCTCTTATTGCTTTTTTACTTGTCGTGCTGGTATGACGAGTAGCAAACTGGACCATTAAGCAAAAATCCCTGGTCTCATGTTGATGTTGATTAATTAATCGACCCTAGGGTTGTGCCTCACAGAATTCCACTCTGTACCTGCTTCCAAGAATCGACCCTTGCCTTTTGTCTTCTATTAACAAGGAAATCTGAGCTATGACAGACTGATTGACTGAATAAACATAGAACCCCGCACACACGTGCATCGGTTCAACTTACCGTTCTTCACAGAAGTATACAAACACATGGGGGAAAAAGACTGATACCAATGTACATAAAGTAGTGTGAGAGAAATAAACAACTTCGAAATAATGGTTAGCGGAAATATTCAAGTTTTAGAAGACGTCAAAGAGTGAATACATCTGAGCCACTGCGACCGATTTTCAGCCATGTTACCCAGAGTCCTCAACCATTGATTCCTTTCGTCTTGGAGACCCTAGTCAGGCGGTCTAGATCTCCCCACATGACTCAGACTAACAGTCAGGGGCTTTGTTGACTGGTGCCATGCCTGCATCCGGCCACTTTGAAGCCTCTTCGAAACCAACCCACCTTCCCCCAGCATGGCGTGTCGAGGTAGGCTGTGGATCGTCATGCAAAACTTATGTCCAAGCCACCTCAGTCGACCAGAGTTCAAAACCTCAATAATCGGCTTGTCTATCTTGCCTAGTACCCTTCGTCTGACCTGAACATTGCTCACAAGGTGATTTCACGAAACACTAGCAGTTCTACGAAGACATGTGTGATCGGAACCTTGGAACTGCTTCATGTCTTTTATTTTAAGTGGTCGTGTCTCACAGCTGTACAACAGGATAGGACGGACTGCAGTAAACCCATCCTTTGATAGATAGTTGGTTGTCTCGATAATTGGTGCCACAGATGACACAAAGCAAATACCAAACAGGTGTTCTGTATCCGAGCTGTGATTCCGTCAGTAACCAGCTCGTCTGGGTTGATGCAACTCCCTAAGTAAGTGTAGTGATCGGTGCATTCCACTTCTTCTCCCCGTATTATTAATCTGGGAGTAGTTGGAAGCCAATATTGAGGCATTATCTCTCGCTTGGCAGGTGCCAGCGAACTGCATGACAAACAAACTTAGGTTTGTGTTCAACGTGTTCAGAACACACCACATTTTGTCACTATCTTCACCTAGTAGGATAATATCGTCTGCATACTCCAAGTCAACCGGATGACCTCTAGAGGGTAGGTCAGACCCTGTGAAGTTAGACGTTGTTATTCAGAAGTTGTTATTCATCGAAGACTGACATCAGTTGGAGGAACAAAGGAAACCTGGGAGCACTGGACAGCTGTTTCGTCCTAGTATGGGACTCCTCAGCAGTGCGCACCACGACCCCACCAGCAGGGATCGAACCCGCGACCTTCAGGTTCTGCGACCAGCGCGTTACCATTGAGCCACTGGGTCAGAATCCATTGCTACGTCTTGGACAAGGTTAAGTGGGAACAGTGGCAGTGGATATCCGTGGTGAACATCACTAGTTGTCGTTAATTCACATGACAACTCTGCATAAACCCTGACATGGTTGCGTGAGTTCGAGTAGAGAGTTTAGATTAGCGTTATGTACTTGCTCGGTACTCTTTTCATGGCTGGATGCTGCTACAATACCTCACGATCAACTGAGTCAAATGTGGCATTCAGGTCAAGAAATGTGGTAAGTGTCGACCACTGACCGGTAAGTGTATGACTGTGTTCCAGAACTTGTTGGAGGGTGGAAATATGATCGGTGGAGTTTCGTTGAGTTCTGAAACGTGTATAGTTTTCTCGAGTTCGCTGTTTTGGGCTCCAATTAGGCATTGGGTAACTATGGACTTGGGGTCTTGAACACAATGATAATCAGGCTAATTCCTCTATGGTAATGCGATGCAAGTATATTACCAGTAATTACCGTACTTTTTATTTTCATAGGAAGTCAGGGATGTGGTACTTTGCTGAACACTTTAATGAAGTCTGTGAAACTGACAGCTGTATTTACCTCATCTTCCTTTAATTTAACTCAATCTTCTCTGTTCGTGAGAGTGTTCATTAAGCAAGAGAAACTTCTGCGGAAGGCATTTTTCAAACGCGACAATTACGGGTTACTTTCCAGTTGGACAGAAATGGCTTTCTTTATTACTCTTTCTATGATTTTTACTACAATACTAGTTGGGCTAATCGATGTATAATATGATGAGTTCTGCCTTGTGGGTAGATGTGATTTCGGCGTCCTTCGAATCAGTTGTGTGTTCATCCGCTAAGGGACAGTAAATGTAGTAGTCGATGACCCAGCTACACAGAGTGCAACCTCTCTAAGCAGCCTTAGGTGCAGCTAGTTTCTTTGCGTTGATTTTTATGCATCCAGAATACCTAATACCCCAAACATATCATTGCAGTCAATGTCCAAAAAGTTTATTCTGTTGAATGTCAACGTGTCTACTGTTGATTCGTGTATGTTGAAGGTTTCTGGGTAAATGTCTCAGAAAATTTTCAGACCATAGTCTCTAGTTTTTCCTTATAGTTTTGAATCAACTGGCTAGTTTTTGTTTTTTCCATTAAGATGACAATATCATTATAGGTTCCATTTCTATAGTTCACATAAAAATAGCCTCTTTGGGTGTTGCACTCCAGCCTGGGTGAGACGCGTTTCAAAGCATATACGAGACTGGTGGATAGCAACTCTGCATTTGTCCCCGGTTTCTTCGTAGTGCTTCTTCACCTCAAGAGTACCAAGGTAGATGACAAGACTGCAATACTTTTTCCTTCCGTTGTAGTAAACTTCAGATTTCGCGGTTTATGCGTGGAATATGTTTTCATTCCTTTGGGAAAGAGTCGGTGAAATAAACAGTTGAGTCACTCGTGGTTATATTACTATCAGTCATCTTTTATAAAGCACGATAAATTCTCTCTAACTTATACATCAGATTTCAACGATTTCGAATTCACATGCCCATCTGAGACTGGACACCAACTGTACTAAAAATTTACAGATCCTGTAAACAAAAAATGACCTTATATACCACATAAAAGTTCAGCGTTATAGGTCCTTGTGGTCCATAGTTATCACCAGTTGAGTTCACTGGAGATCTCCAACACCGTGTTGTATTTTTAAATAACTTAAATTACATTGAGTTGATCTAGAAAAGGTACGGAATCCATTGTCTCATGCAAGCCAATTCATTTTAGATTGTTTATTGTGCAACATGATATTGAAGGTTTTTTTTATTTTGTTAAATATAGAGGAGGAGTTCTGATTCTACCTCAAGGGAAATGACAGAGTTTTCTGATTACACAAAGGAATCACTTGAGTTGTTCAGGCAAAAATTAAGCACGTACATAGAGGTTGTGGATAGAAATTGTAAGTTTTAGTTAATTTACTAAATACTTTTACAGTAGCTAGTGCAGCTGAAGATTCTGTTCATTTTGATTACAATGAAAAGTCACCATTGGACTCTTGCAGAAAGTGAATAATACATTTCCATGTGGTTGCCTACATTAGTTTAATTATCGGCTTTAAAGCTGACTTTCTAGAACTGGAAACATGAACATATAATCTGTATCAATAAGTTGGTTCCAAAATTTGAAAAAAATAAAGGTTTATTTGCATGAGGTTTTTTTTTAGATGATATGATGTGTCCATTTTCGATAATTTTGCATGGAACTAATATATTTAGGCTTTAGCATGTTCTTTTTAAAAATATATTTTCTTGAGGCTTCCTAAACATTCCTTGCATTTTGTGACGTAAAATGTTAAAATTTGTTCAAATGTCAGTTATTGAGAACATGTGACAATATTGTGTCGATTTGAGTCAAATAAGAATCTCCAGATGTCCTAAAGTGCTTGTTGCTTTAGCATTGTTATACTGGGGTAGAAGTAATGCAATGAGACAGTAAACAAAATGTTATTTATGAATTATTCACTTCAATATTTGAAGTAAAGTATTATCAGTGTTATCAGTGAATTCGTTTCGAGGGTTTTGATGAACTCTTACATTTATTTATCGACTCTTCTACTTTTAGATGTTATATTTAGACAAATCTCAGTGTCTTTGAAATAAGAAATTTCAGTGCCACACGGAAGTCTGACCTGGGCTTCTTTATGGAAATAATCAAAAGTTACATTATCAGAAACATATAACAGGTCAAAAATCTCATTGTCCGGTCGTGACTGGATCATGATTGTTGTTCAATAGGATTATTAGTCATTGACACCATGATACCTTGATGCATACGATCCATCAATGTAAGTTTGTGTGTGTATTGTATTTCAGTTATCGGTTGGTACAAAGTAGTAGAGGTCACATGTATCATGATTATCTATGTATGAAGAATATGTACTTGTATGTGGTACAAAATCTGTCATTCCTGTCTGTGTATAAAAACAGAATGAACTGATGCTGATAAGACTAGGCTTTCTGTTTCCTTTGTTTCTTAAAGGTCGCAGAGTAAGTATTAATAATAATAATAATAATAACAGAAAACATGGAAACAACTAGTAGCACATTGTTTATTGTAGATGATGATTTGGATGATGACAAATTAGCGCAACTCAACCATAATACATATCCCTGGGATTAAAAGTCAGTGACTTCATGGGTGTTATCTAGTTTTCCGCAAGTGCGCTTCTAAAAAATCTGCTTTCATCTTTGATTTTACCGCAGGCAGTGATATTAACTGTGCTACTTGTCTCGCTGCTTAAACTTAAATTTTGCTCCTTCGATTAACAGCTGTTACCTTGATGTAGTAGTTGAGCTTACATATCACAACCCAATGAATTATTCCGGGTGGGACGATTGTTACTTAAGGTCCCATTGTACCCAGAATGTCTGTTGGGTAGCGGTAAGACTAAAAGCAGTTACCGTCATAGTGCAAATAAGTTAAGCTGTGGTGGGGGCCTGAAGATGAGATACTACTGGTTTTCATTCAGGCAGAGGTTGATTTTATCTGTGTGACTGTTAGTTAAACAAATTCTGTTAGCTCTGATGTGTTTCCTGTGGGTAACCAGAATTCTGCTCAGATGCGACTTTCCCCTCATCGGTTGGAAGGGATACAAACGTTTGCATCTAAAAGTAGCACGCTTCTACCTGCCCTATAAACATCCCCTGCTGGCATTATGAACTTTATTTTAGTATGAAAATAACAGTCAAATCCAAAACTCGAAGAACAACCAGGTATAACCAGTCTCGAGAGAAATTCTCTTGGGCTCTATGGTAACAGAAAACTAATTTGCTTTATTTTCCAGGTGCCTTGTGGAGATATCAGCTTCCCCCTTTTATTGTTTTACTGTTATTATTATTATTATTATTGGGACACAAACATGGTTCAGCTTGGGTCACCGAGAAATGCACTACACAAAATAATACAACACTATTTTGACGACATAAAACGAAGGGAAGTGGGTAAAAAGAAAAATAATAAGAGTAGGATGGTTGGAAGAACAGTCCAGTAAGATACGTTAAAAACAAAACATTCATTACTTTCTAACGGTAGAACAAAGAAGGAAGCTACAGCATGACCACAGTGGTCTCGATTGTAAACCATACCTGATAACGTCTCGAGCCACTGGGCTGCACGATCTCTCGGACCCCACCCAGCGAGTCATGATGCACCAATGGATACTGGCCCGATACAACTATCCTTGATCCTATGGTGCCACGTTAAACACTGAACACCCCATCGCTTCTTCCATCCAGTCCCAGGGCTGACAAATAATGGACTGTATGAAAGCCGTTAGGATGGCTTTCGCAACACATGTCTAAGTCACGGAGGCCGGTGTTTCCAGATGACTTCACTTATTGAACGATGACCTCCAACATTCCCAAACACATTGTTGTACTTCAGAATTACTTACATGGTGCTACCGCTGGATACCAGCAATCGTAGGGAGGTAACCATGATCGAAGACATGCAATCGTCACACACCCTTAACTCGGAGAGGCTAGGTTTCACAGATGTAGAGCAGAACCACTCGCACGGAAGCATTGTAAACCCGCTGTTTTGCTGTTGGGCTGATGTCGCGATGGAGCCAAAGGTGGGAGTCGCTAAACAGTTTTGACCTCATAAAGCTGTCCCCCAGTACGACGTCTGACATAGCTATCCTGAAAGCTTGTGTACCGTTTAAGCTCGCCACCTTCAACGTTTGCAAATTGATGCAGATCGGACAGCAACTAGGTTTGGCTGGGACTCTCGAAAGCTTGTCTGTTGATCTATGCTGCATCACAGAAACTCTCATACGAGATTTCAGTGAAGTGTTCGAATTAGTTTCGCATCTGTTAGCTTGGAGAGTATGTTTCATTTGCGCATATCCGGGGATCCTATGGCATCTGCAACTGGCCTCGCTGGTGTCCGTGTCGTACTAACCGCTCCAGTCAACTGGATCTCCATCGGAGGTCGTCCGTGTGGTTTTAGGATAGAGGGTTTATCTCGAGTGAGGAGTAACCGACAGGAGGAATGACGTCTCTTTGTCATCTCTGCCTATGATCCGACGGATTGCAGCCTGGATGGGACCAAGGATGAATTTCATCATCATTTGAGTGGCCTTCTCCACCAAGTTCGCTCCTCCTTTTATCAGCATACGAAACTATACAATGGTAATCTCTTTTCTTCACTTCTCTTCACTTTAGTTGCCTGATGCTGTCACCAACACTGAATACACCTTGTCAATGTGATGAATGTGTATAACTCACCTTACGAGTGTTGCGAAGTTCAGTGGCGTTGTAGAATAGCTGTTATGAGCGTAGGTTTAGTATCTAGAGCAGAAAGCTCACTGCTCAGTTCAATATCGAAATCTACTCAGAACGTTATGTATTTTCGTGGAGCAGACCGTGAGGCACGTTGTGTAAGGGCTAATGAGATTAGCTTACTGTTCAAGCCTCGTTCGGTGGAGTGGTGTTCGAACCCGTCAGGCACCGGTTGAAAACTAACTTCCTAAACCAATGAACCACAAAACTACTCAGCTACATGCTGGTTGTTAGCCGTTTTGTTGAATAGGTTTTTAGGGACTAGAAAGGGCTTTGGTGCTCTTCAATGGTTTTTGGGGTCTCGGCCTATGCACCCGCGTAATGAAATCCGAACTCTGCGAAATATGAGTTTTCCGAAAGCTGTCGATTTCACTACAATAAGTAAAACTCTCAGATCGAGTTACACAGACAGCAGTATTTGTCCCCTAAAATTTGTACTAACCGTCACTAATTTTTACCATGGGTAGACGTCAACTCACTTGGGGTGCTTCGAAATTAGGTCAGCGGTGGACACAAACCATCGTTAGAGATGATCTGTGGAATATAATAGCACATTTTCTAGCACCTACTTAGACTTGGGTCATGCTTTAATTTGGAGACTGTTCTTTTGTGCCGTAGGAACGTTAGAAATAAAAAGCTGTAAATCCACTGTATCATCGACTGGATGACGAGAACATAGGTAAGCTTTTGTGTAAAGATGACAGAAATTTTCATATCATTAACCCCCAGTCCAATATTCTATTTGCTGTGGAAACTGGTCGACAGTAACATACATTCAAAGGCTAACGAAAGTCAGTGGATTTATTCGACTCCATCTGAACTGATCGATGTCAGGGGACTCATTTCCAATAGTTCTGACCATGTTAAGGAGCGAAGTCAACCTAAACGTAAACTGTTTTAGAGTCTGCAATAACCGCCGTTGGAGGTGGGTGGTAAGAGCGAGAGACGGAGAAGTCAGTGACACTGGGTAGTACTTGACAGTTATGTAGGTTTATTAAAGAGACAAGCACTGAAAAAGTGATGATCAACGAGAATATCACCGAAAGAGATAGTTCTCTGATGACTTCAGAGGACAATGAGCTGGAACTTTAACACTCTGAAAAACAGTTGATATATAGCCGCATTCCAATCGCTTAACATCCAACCCAATCATAAACTGGATATTGGTATCGCTCCTGCAACTTATACTGTAAATAAGGTTTTTTCTAACCTAAAATGTTGCTAAGCACAAAAACTGAACGGTTTTCTATCAGGAATTTTTAAGTATGGAGGAAGAAAACTACCGAGTAGAGTAATGGAGCGACTAGTTAGTGCATAAGAGTCAGAAGTAGTCCCATCAGACTGATGTAAATCGCTGATCATCCCAATTCGTAAGAAAGGAAACAAGTTTCACTATGACTAACTCAGGGTAGTCATCTATAATAATACAGTGGCCGGTGCACAAACCAGTAGTACATGGTTACTGAGTTATTCTACGCTGAGGAATGATGTGATATGAACAGATACACTGTTGTGACAGAAGAGAGCTATCTGTTTTCGCTCAACCTCCAGTGGTATTTATAAATTAACTGTAATTGAGTGACACAGTGTATGGCTTGTACAACTATCTAGGAGTAGTAGCTACTAGGTTTAGGCACTGGACTTTTACTCGTAAGTAGCGGGCGAAAAACTCACTCCGTGAACTTAGATTTGGGGAGCTACAGACAGACATAATCAAAGTAAAACCC